GTATAGACTCAAAACACAAACACATTTTCAATGCACACAAAAATATTTTTCATTCCATATATAAGTAAAAGAAAATCCACATATAAACAATAAGATTTATAAACATGTTTGTGATGCACACACAAATATTTCTTGTTTTAAATATGTGCAATTGAAATTCACAAATGTACGCATGTAAAAGTATTTGCAATTTTCATCAAATACATATTTGGAGGTTGTTACATTGATATATGGATTGTCAAATCTGCATTTACAAAGTGCTTTTAATTTGTAAACTTCCCTGCATTTGTGTGTGCGAGTTTTGAGACTCCCCTGACGTGACTCGATTCACAAATGCATTTTTTTCTTGGGGATTGTCTGCAGCCAATCAGATGTCTCCCCATGAGTGCCTCCCCACGAGGGGTGTTATATGACGTCATTAAAACATGCGCAGGTGGGAGTTATGGTGTGTTCGTTTTGTACTCGGAGGTCAGAAGTCGGAAGTGGGAACGACGTCACCTCCGAGTTGACAACAGTTTTTGCATTCTAGTTGACAACGGTGGACAAGTCGGAATTTTTTTTTCTCATTTTATTTATTTAGAGGACAGTGCATATTAATGAACATTGCTGTAAATGTGCCGGTGTTAGCCAAAGGCTAATTTTCAACTGTAGTCCTCCGGCATGATGTTAAAAAGACCTCAGGCCGATTTTCTTTTAGGTCCAAAAAACATGGACGTTACCGTTCTACCGTTGGGCTAGCCGTAGCCACTGTTGGGATTCACAGGACCACAGATGTTTTGTCATTTGGTAAAATCTAAACTGGAGATTTAAAGGCTTTTTCCTCTGCATGCTCTTTGTTTTCCAAACAAAGACAGCTATTTGACACCCATCTCCAGGAGGTCTCACCTCACACCTCAGTGAGACACAAGTCTCACAACTTGATTGGACAGTACTGTTACAGTGACATGCCTCTCTGTGATGTCACCAAACTCTGTAGAAGGTCTGCTCCCTCCAAGCCTTCTCTCTCTTGCTCTGGAGCTACAACAGCTCAGAGCTCTTGCTCCAACTGCGGAGCAGCTCACACCTCTTTCCGGCTGGGCCTGGAACAGCAGAGGCCCAGACCCTTGCTCCATAGCCCCAAACCACTAAAGGGGGGGCAATTGATCATAGACTCTTTTGCAAACACAAGGTTTGCATCTAGCTTTCCAGCAACGAAGAGAACCAAGTGAGTTAGCACCCAGCGTCTAACTCTACTAAACCCTGAGCGACCAGCTTCCTCGGAGTTTCACCTTTGGAACAAAGGACACAACAAAGACTGCAGCTGGAACCATCTTCCCTGGCTTCTTCTGTTGGCTAACAAAGCAGTACACCACCAAGTGACTCTTTCTCCCATCCATTCAAGGATCGGTAACGTAACAACTGGGCATAGCATATTACAGCTTTACAGGCTAAGCAAGACTGTTTAACTTGTATGTGATTTAATGCTGTCATTGAGTTATTATTGTGATAATTTGCAGTTAGGTCATTGATTAGTTGGCTTCACCAAAGCTAAGTGTTTAGTTTGCTAATACTGCACCCAACTAAACAATCTCTGCACTAATCCAGACCGTTTGCAACACATATCACACTCACATAGACTCATTAACAAATAGGCTTTCAACAGAGCTACACCCAAACAGGCATCTCAAAGTTCCCGCTTCTTTTCCTTTGTCTTTGTCCTGACCACACGGTCAGACAAACACCTTCCCCGATCTGAAGCCAGCTTTGATTCAGCCATCTTGTAGTTCTCTGTTGTCAGCCATTTTGTTTTGTAGGCCAAACGGCTCTTTGATCACCACACCCGCCTTTGTCTTTCTCTTTTCTCTCTCGCACACACACACACACACACACATATACACACCAAGCTTGTATATAGTTAGTTAGAATTTGTGTGTTTTGGTTTGCTTTGCTAGTTTGTGCATAAATATAATTCTTTGGAATCATACCTGCTGTCTTGTTGCACAAGAGTGAATGAATAGTCAACCTCTGCTGCGTCAAGAACTCTGAAATCCTTCAGGCATTACCGTTAATTTTGGTCGTTGTCATTAATTTAATTATTAATCAAACTCAAAATGAATAGCCTAGTTTATGAGACTGATATCTTTAACTGGCTATCATTTTTCCCTTTACGGAATGGTGCCCCACGAGGTGATTTAATGTTAATTAAGTCACATTATTTAACATGACTAATTAATTATTATTAATAATTATTAATTATTTCCGATAGCCAATTAAATCCCTACATATTTGGGGCCGCCGTGTGAGGTAAAAATATGTTGATCCTAACATATTTGGTGCCTCTGTGTGAAGCCCGAATTTAAATCCTAACATTTTGGTGCCTCCGTGTGAAGCCCAAATTTATGTTCCCAACACCACTGTTAGCAATATCAGTTGATAACAACGCTCTATGTGGCATTTTGCACATACAGACAGTGTAGCAACATGCCCACGGATAAAAATTTAACAGTACTATGGGTATGGCTAACCTAATGCAAAACAAATAAGATAGAATTGCTATAAACAGTACTTTAGCAGAATGTTTAATCACTATGTATGATTAAACACAGTTCCCAGTCGGAAGTTTAAACTCAAACGCACCCTGAGGTCGGATTTACAACTAGGAAACTCGGAGCAACCGCATCAACCCCAACTTACGAATTCACGATGGCTGTCGGTAACATACATAGTGAGTAAACACTCTGCTAAAGTACTGTTTATAGCAGTTCTATCTCATTTGTTTTACATTAGGTCAGCCTCATATGCGGCTTTCATCAGTTGGAGTAAGACATATGATTGGCTGCAGACAATCCCCTCTTAGAAAAAATGCATTTGTGAATTGAGTCACGTCAGGGGAGTCTCAAAACTCGCACACACAAATGCAGGGAAGTTTACAAATTAAAAGCACTTTGTAAATGCGGGTTTGTATATATATCATATATCAATGTAACAACCTCCAAATATGTATTTGATGAAAATTGCAAATACTTTTACATGCGTACATTTGTGAATTTCAATTGCACATATGTAAAACAAGAAATATTTGTGTGTGCATCACAAACATGTTTATAAATCTTATTGTTTATATGTGGATTTTCTTTTACTTATATATGGAATGAATTTTTTTTTTGTGTGCATTGAAAATGTGTTTGTGTTTTGAGTCATATATATATATATATATATATATATACATATATAATACACAATTTGTGAATATACATTTGTGAATCCTTTTTTGTGCATTTATTAATTTCTGTGTGCACTTATTCATTTTGAGACTGTTCTAGTTCCATACTTCCAGAGGTGCTGTGTCTGTAGCATCTGGATCAGACTGAATTGTTTTTGTGTTCTTTGCCACCACGGATAATTAATCTTTTGTCTTGTTGAAGGATCTCATTTGATATTGATTATTGTTTTTTCTTCTATTGTAGATTTGACTCCACTGTCTCCAAGGTGACTCCCTGCGCTCCAGGGTCATATGGAGCTACAGCTGTGACACAAATTTTGGCTATGACAATAAATTCTGGCAATACAGAAGGACACATTGGCATTGAAAACAATTCCACTGGAAAAATAAAACAGACTATAATTATTTATTTTTGCATACTGATGTGTTCTGATGAAATTTCCTCAAATTTGGCACTCATGTTTACTTCTACTCAATGATAAACGGGTTAGGTTTTGGTTGTCAAAGGTCAAGGTCACTGTGACCTTGTGTTTGTTTTATTCTCGTGAACGCAGTATTTCAAGAACACCTTGAGAGAATAAATTTGGCACAAACATCCACACTCAACCATATACTGCTTAAAATTTGGTGGTGAAAGGTCAAGATCACAATGAGCTCACAAAACAGTTTTTGGCCTTAAGTCAAGAATTCATACACTATTTATGGCAACATTGCACACAAATGTGTAATAGGATAAAATGATGAAGTGACAACATTTTATAGCCAAAAGGTCAAAGGTCAACTTAACTGTGACATCATAATGTTTTCAACGTCATATCTCAGAGACAGAAGGGGAGACATCTGAGCAGATACTTAGATGACACTTATCTTGGGTGTCCACCTTAAAACCGCACTGAACATATAGATCTTCTGTGCTGCTAAGGGGAAGATGTGAGGCATCCATGTTTTAGAATATGTAGCTTCTTGGCAGCAACCTTTAGATTTGAAGCATTGTCTACTGTCATAGCTACAAATGACTCTATACAGACATGGATGTAAACTGTAACTGCAACTTGACTGGTTTGCGGAGGCATACAGCTTCCAGGCGGTAATTCTAGTTTTATGCTGACAGCTTTTTTTTTTTTTCACTTTTAAACTTCTGTCTTTGGATGGGAGGAGTTTGAGGGGAGGTGCAAGGACCATATATGGTAATTGGGTCTTCCATAAGTTGACCTGGAGCTCTCAAACAGCAAGTACATTAAGTCTGTTTCACTGGTTTTTAATATGTAAAAATGTGTGGTTATGGTTTTTAATTTATAAACTGGCTGGTTAAAGTTAACTTTTAACTGACGTTATGCTGGTCTGGCAGGGGTTCGCTGGAACAGAGCTGTCATCAGCTACTGTCAGATAATGTCAGCTATCATAGCTAACATCAGGCCCTATTTAAAAAACACCAGCAGAGAGAAACAGACTTGCTGTGTGGGAGTTCCAGGTAAACGCATGAAAGCCACTGCTGTAGATGCACGTTAAAGCCAGAGGCTTACTGGGGTCAAAGAGCTTACTCATTGTGTTCAAGGTTTGAATGAATATCTGATTGATAATATTTTTAATCACTAACAACATTAAAATTTCACATTGTGTGGACATTAACATTATGATGTTTTGCAAATGTTGGGTTTTGATCTTCATACCTTACAGTCCCTGACAAAAGTCTTGTCGCTTATCCTAGTTGTAGGAACAACAAATAATAACCTGACTTGTAGTTGATCAATTGGGATCAGAAATAGCTTATATGAAAGGCAAAGGCCTTTAGATTATGCTTATTATAACAAAATAAAGTTGTGTATCATTCATTGAGTTTTATCATTTAATTAGGACAGAAAGGTCAGATCTTGCTTGGACAAAAGTCTTGTCGTGTCTTTAAACGATTCAACCAATCACAGATTAGAGCTCCACCTATGACAAATACTGTAATTAACACATTCCCAGGTGTGTATAAAAAGAACCCCAGCACACCAGACCTTCATGTGAAGTGCAACCTGACCGCTGACAACATGCCAAAGATTCAACCACAGACCAAAGTGCTGATCATCAAGAGCCTGAAGATCAAGTCTGCTGCTGAGGTGGCAGACATCTTCAGTGTATCCAAACGTCAAGTGGAGAGGATAAAAAAAAGATTTGAAGAAACTGGTGACGTTCATGACAAGCCCAGGTCAGGCAGACCCCGTAACACAACTGTTAGAGAGGACCGTTTGTTGCTTCGGCAGTCCAGGGCCAGCCCTTTTTCAACTGCAGCAGAGCTACATCAGAACTGGTCACCAGAAACCCCTGTATCTACCAGAACAGTTTGTCGAATTCTCTCACGCAATGGTCTCCATGGCCGAATTACTGCTCACAAACCAGCATTAAACAGAAGACAACAAAAGAATCGTGCTGCATTTGCCAAGGCCCACAGCGTGCAGAAAGGATGGACAGTGGAAAAGTGGCAGAAGGTTGATTTTTCTGATGAATCATCCATTGAACTGCATCCCAATCACCGCAAATACTGCAGAAGACCTGTTGGAACCCGCATGGACCCAAGATTCACCCAGAAAACAGTCAAGTTTGGTGGAGGAAAAATCATGGTTTGGGGTTACATCCAGTATGGGGGTGTGCGAGAGACCTGCAGAGTGGATGGCAACATCAACAGCCTGAAGTATCAAGAGGTTCTCGCTGCCCATTACATTCCAAACCACAAGAGAGGGCAAATTCTTCAGCAGGATGGTGCTCCTTCTCATACTTCAGTCTCCACATCAAAGTTCCTGAAAGTGAAGAAGGTCAAGGTGCTCCAGGATTGGCCAGCCCAATCACCAGACATGAACATTATTGAGCATGTCTGGGGTAAGATGAAGGAGGAGGCTTGGAAGATGAAACCAAAGAATCTTGATGAACTCTGGGAGTCCTGCAAGACTGCTTTCTTTGCCATTCCAGATGACTTCATCAATAAGTTATTTGAGTCATTGCCGAGACGTATGGATGCAGTCCTCCAAGCTCATGGGAGTCATACACGATATTAATTCTTTTTCCAAGGCACCATGACTTTATGTTCTGATGTCATTGGAGCATGTTTGTGTATTCAAAATAAAGTATCATTTCTACAGTACATTATTTTTGTATGCGACAAGACTTTTGTCCAAGCAAGATCTGACCTTTCTGTCCTAATTAAATGATAAAATTCAGTGAATGATGCACAACTTTATTTTGGTATAATAAGCATAATCTAGAGGCCTTTGCCTTTCATATAAGCCATTTCTGATTCCAATTGATCAACTACAAGTCAAGTTATTATTTGTTGTTCCTACAACTTGGATAAGCGACAAGACTTTTGTCAGGGACTGTATGACTAAATGTCGGAATTCTACGTCAAGATGATACTCAAAAAGTGAGTGGCATGAAGTAAGTATTAGAAGACAGTCACTGAAATCACATTGGAATGCAAAACATATAAAGATAAATTAATTGTTTGTGCCCGTGTTTTAATTTTCAGTGGAATTTTTTTCTTTGCCAGTATTTCCTTTCATAATGCCAAATTTTATTTTTATTTTTTGATGCCACACATACACACAAACACACATACACAGTTGACTCAAGGTCATTGTTTTAAAGAGTGTCGTGTTTGCTCTTTTATCATTTGTTTTACTTTTTTTTTCCAAATTTCAGCTGTATATTGTTTGAGGCGCATTTAATTGGGACAAATAATATGCTAAGTCATAAGTTTTTTAACTGTTGTGCCAGTATGCATTGCTTTCTGCTCTTGTATGTTTGTATCATCCTACCACCTGAAGTTGCCAAAGTCTGAAATTTTCAGATCTTACACACAGGAGCTTTAGAGGTCTGAGCCCTGATGTGACCACAGAGTGCCTTGTTAATATGTATGCAAAGTGGATTTAGTGAGATGATTATCAGTATTTACGAGATAAAATATGTTGCATGGTCACAGACTTTTAAAAGCTGCAAAAATTAGTATTTTATATTAAGAATGGGTCCAATGACTATAATGTGGGAGGAGTGACAAAGAAGGAAATATAGCTGCAAGCGGCAATTCTGGGGTTCAAGCCAGCATGGACATTTAAAACTTGAAAGCTGGGTAGAATAAAGACCTTTGACAGTTCAGGACACCTGCATTAAAGATTACCAACAGGTTTTATGACAATCAGACAGATATTCATTTATGTCCAAATCTTTATTGGGCCACGCTCTTCTTTGGAAGCACTGTGGTTTCTTATTGGACAACTGCAGGAACATTTTGGGGACATGCTTTAATGGCTTGATTAAAAAAATTAAAAAGTCCACAGAGTTTGGTGATGTTTGGAAAAAACCCTCATTGATTTATGGCTAAATTTTGTCAAAGGCCATTGCATTTTTTGGAACTTGTGGCACCCCCTATTGACCGATTTTAATTTTAATTTCAATTTTATTTATTTCTCAAGGGGGACAGTGTACATTAATGAACATTTTCATAGAAATAAAAACATAAATGTGTCCAGTTGCAGCCAAGCGCTGATTTACATTGCTAGTCCCCCCCACCAGATGGTGCAGGCAGAAGTTCCTAAAAAGTAAATGCATTAACCATACTATAGATGAAGCAATTACAATAAATAAAAACATAACAATCACAATTTAACAGTATAAATCGCACAATGAGGCATAAAAGTCATATTGCATATTATGCATGTGTACGCTTATGTCCTGTTTTTAAGTGCAACCAATTAATAGTCAGATGGGGGAGAAGGGACTGTTTGGGGTGTAAAGACGGAGTGTGAGACTGCAGCAATGCAAAGTCCAGTACATTGTTCTTGTTGTGATTATGATGGATGGTAGTGGAGGATATTTGGACAATAAGGGTTAAAGTGCTGTAGTGCTTATATCCAAGTTCTGTCAATTGCATAATAAAGTACATATTAAATAGGCACAGGAAAAAAGATCGGTACTTTGCATGCTCATACATACACGCCTGAACAAGCACTACACCTTAACAGTGTTTGCATGTTTGATTGAGACATAATAGAAACATAGTAAATAGACACAGGAAGAAAAGACACATTGCATGCTCATACGTATATGTCCAAACATGCACTGCACCTTAACAGTGATTACAGGTTTGGTTACTTATAAGCCACCTCTTTAGATGTGTTTTGAATATGGCATATGTGTTACAGTCCAGTATCACTGATGGTATACTGTTCCAGATGTGGCTGCCTTTAACTGAGAGTACTGACTGACCACAAGTAAAATAATACATGTGGTT